GGAAGTTAGCAGGGCACTCGATATTTTTTAAAATATGTCCGCGGCAAAATTATTCTTTTCACGGATAATTTACGGATAATTAACGGCAAATTATGCGATAGGAATTTTTGCTTTGAGAAAAAGTTGTCCTGCCAAGTTCAGAGAGGTAGCAGAAACTATTAGCCTTCATATAACATTTTATTCGAACTATTGAATTAAGGATTTCCAACCTCATCCTATTTCGAATCTTAGTTTTTGTTGAATTCATTACGGAAAAAAAAGCGCTCAACAAAAGCATTTGAGTGCGGCAAGGATAATAATATGAAGGCTACTTTATTTATATTTGCAAACATTTTATTGCCTGTTGCGGTTTTCACTCCGTAAGCAATTATCCAAAATTCTTCAGAGTAAGGAGGAATGCCGTTCTGAAAAAAGTTATTCCATGGGAAAGTTAAAAGCTTTAAATAGCTTTCCGCTGCTCCGCTTTCCTTCAAATTCAGACGGTGTATTGGCAGGTCCCTGAAACTCGCACTCTTTGATTTAAAGACTTTTCTGGTGACAAAATCAAAGCTTTTTTAAAAGTATTTAATTGACTAGGTAATCCTTTCAAAAGTTCTTCGATTAGGGTGATTACAAATGTTTGACAGTATTTTAGTATTCTTATTAAGTAAAGTTTATCACGCAGTACATTAGCCTCTTCTGTAAAATTATCGTGGAAACTAAGTTTTGTATCTTTTTATAATTGGAAAAAATGTATTTGAAGGGAAAAAAATCGCCAAAAATTGCCAATGGCGATTTCGAAAATATTTACGCGCAAATATCCAAGATAAAATCGCCAAATTGGGGCTAAATCGCCAAATCTGGACACTCTGATATAGATGCAGTCCTTAGATAGTGATACTTTTTCACAGTGTAAAGAAGCATGTATTTTTTTTTCTTTCAATACCACACTCAAACGAAACAACTGAGAGGATCTTAAGTATAAAGTTTGCTTCCTGACGCAAAGAGAGAAACCGGCTTCTAATTAAAATTTTGTAAAGTGAAAATCAAATTAAAAGTAATTTAAAATGAAATGTATGGAATTCTTGGACTATTTAAACACTGAAGATTGAACCATCTCATTATTGCTAGTCAAATATGTCATAAATATAAAATAATTTATTGCTTCTGTGTACAATAATGCGTACACTCATGTTAAAATGAATAACACCTTTGTTTTTTATGAACTATATTTTATTTATACCAAAATATTTTTAAAAACAAGTACTCTGGCGTTTTAAAGCATTATCTGTTACTTACATTCATAATTTTGCTTTATAAAAAAGTGTACTGAAAAGTACTGATTTTTTAGCATGAAAAAGTTAACGTACTGATTTCGTGCATAAAAAATCTGGCAACCCTAGCCACGTTGGACATTTGCAAGAACAATTTGTGAGCACGTTTATCTCTTTTGTAGAGGTAAAGCTTCAAGATCGTACCATTTAACCCCGCATAGACTTTTTCTTGTAGGTATATCTGAAATCGGAGTTCTATGGTTATAAGCCAGAAGCAACAATTAACGCATTCTTCCTGTAATTTAATTAAATTCTTAAAACCTACAACTTTGATTTCATGCCAATATGTAGCTTAATATTTCTGTGGCACTTGAAGTTGAGTTCTTTTATCCATGCAGTAAATGATGACAACTCCTGAAAAAGTAATTTTGTATGTGCCTCTATGCATATTTACCTACATATGGGGCGTTCCATACCAAAATGGACGGGGTTCATACTTCATGAGTTTGATTTGTTTAAAATTTTTAGGATTGATGGATAAACATAAATAATAAATAAATATGAAATTTCAGCATGATTAATACATTTTTAAAAACTTTACAGCATACAAATAAAAACAAAAACAAAAACAAAAACAAATCGATTTAATAGTTTTCCAAATATCTCGAGAACGGGACGAGGAAAAAATTAAAAAAAAAAACACACATCGAAATTCTCTATGAAAAGAAATATTTAAAAAAAGTTTCACATACAAATTTTTTGGTAAAAAATCTTAGTTTTTGAAAATATGCCATCTCGAAAAAAATTGAAAAAAACCCCAATGGTGGCTCTGAGTATTGCGCAATATTTAAGTACAATACAATACAATAATTTGAGTTATTTTTTTTACACCGAATTTGAATAAAAGAGTACATTACAAATTTAAAATTTTTTTTTGAATTTTTTTGAGCATGCAGTCGTCTTGTAGCCCATTAAATTTTACTACAATAAGTTGCAAGTGTCGGCCGCTGTGGTGTAGTGGTAAGCAGTGCGCGCTTCCACTCCGCAACGCCTGGGTTCAACCCCGGGTCAAAGCAATATCGCAAAAAATATAGAACAAGTAATTTTTAGCAAAAAAAACCTACTTCCACTCTCATATAAAAAAAAATATATATATATATATCGCACTTGTTACGTTAAAGCATAACAACTCAAAATTTCCAAATTTTAGTTTTTTGCAAGAAAACAATGTACAGTGGTCATCTCTACCCACTGTAAAAATCGTTCAGTGGTTTGTCTAGTCTTTCGTTAAAAAAACCGTTATGACTCTCTCTTTGTTTTCAGAATGACTTCTTTTGTCTCAACTAAAGAGTTACATTTTTAGTTGTCTCCAAGTATTTGAACAAATTTGTGTCACATAAAGTGTAACATTTTGAATTGTGCCTGTTTACAACCAAAGGGTTTGTTTAAGTTTGTTTAAGTTACGTGTTATTTCGGCTTATCACTCTTTAGTGTCATTAGGTAAGTTTATTCTACTGTGTTATATCGTATTGTTTCCATTATGATGATAAATTCGTTACTGTGGTCATTTTGATAAAAAAATAAAGTTTTCTTAGTGTGTGCTTACATTGGGTAGTTATAAGTGTCACAATGTAAAAGATGAGTTAGCAAACAAACATGATTGTTTATTTGATTGATTGCACAAAATTACTGTCATGAAATTAAAACTATATAAATATTACCCTCGCAGGTTATTTTATGAAATACCTAATTTTTGTTGTTGCTGTTTCAATAACATGACGTGCGCAAACTTAGAACACTATGCCACTACAAAGGCTTTAATGAAAACAACCAATATAAGCGATGATAGTAATTTAGATCCATTTAGCGGCAGATCAGAGTACGATTTTTATCCGTCTGAAGTTACTGCGAGTAGTTCTTCCGAAATTGAGTCACAGGAAACAGTTGCTAAAAAAAGATGTTCCAGATACAAATCCCAAAACAAAAAGCAGAACCGTCAAAAACTTTTAAGAAACTCTGGACTCTCGTACACATCACAATCTTCTTCCAAAAAATAATAAAAGAAAAAAAATTACAACCGCCGTGTAAAGAAAAGTGTCGTTTCCATTGCAGGGAGAAAATATCAGAATCCTCACGCACTGAAATCTTCAATAAATTTTGGTCCACTGGTGACTTACAGAGACAAAGGGAGTTTATAGCTAGCCACACAAAACCATTTAAACCCAAGTACAGGTACTCCTGCACTGAAAGTCTTCGCAAATTAAATAACGCCTTTTTCTTGGAAATAGACTCAACGCAAATTAGAGTATGCAAGACCTTTTTCAAAGCAACTCTTGATATTAATAACAGAGTTATAGATACAGTCATAAAAAAAAGGCGAACAAGGATTTGTAGAGATTGACCTTCGTGGGAAGCATAAGAACCATCCGACTGTAGGCACTGAAATTAAGAACAGTATAAGGGAATTTATAAAAAATATACCAAAAGTCGAATCCCATTACTTACGCGCTCAAACAACACGCCAGTTCATAGAAAGCGGCAAAAGTATTGGAGATCTATACATGGACTATAAAAATTGCGAGAATCTGATAATTTAACTCCTGGAAGTAGAACTATGTTCTACAGGATATTCAAAGAAGATTTTAATATTTCATTTTTTAGGCCAAAAAAAGATCAATGTGATCTCTGCCAATCGTTTTTAAATTCAGATGAAAATGAAAGAAATGATCTGAACGAAATTTACACTTTACATCAAGAAGAAAAGGAATTATGCAGAAAAGAAAAAGATCTGGACAAACAAAAATGCAATGTAGCTGTATACGATCTACAGGCAGTTCTTTCATTGCCAAAAGGATTTTCCTCAAGCTTCTATTATAAAAGTAAAATAAATTGTTATAATTTTACAATCAGTGACCTTAAAGCGAAAGTGGTAGATTGCTTTTTTTGGACCGAAACCGAAGGAAAGCGTGGTTCAAATGAAATAGGAACATGCGTACTTTTATATATTGAAAATCTTGTACTAAAGTCAGTCAATGTTCAAGATTTAGACTTAACATTCTATTCCGACAACTGCTGTGGACAGCAAAAAAATAAATATATACTATCAATGTATTATTATGCGGTTCAGAAATACAATTTACGAAGCATTACACATAAATATTTAATTCAAGGCCACTCTCAAAATGAAGGAGATAACGTACATAGTGTAATAGAAAGACAAATAAAAAGACATTTAGGTAGCAAACCGATATATATACCAGATCAATATATCACGTTAATAGCAACCGCCAAAAAGACTGGTCCACCATACACAGTTCACGAATTATCGCATAATGAATTTTACGACCTGAAGTTACTACAAGAAGAATGGGGTCAACATTTTTTTCTAAATGAGGCCAACCACAAAGTTAATTGGCGTAACATTAAAGTTCTACGCGTGGATAAGGACAACATTGACTCTTTTTTTTATAAAACGTCGTATAAGGACACAGAGTTTATAAAAGTCAATGTACAAAAAAACAACTTAAAGTCTACTGAATATTGGAATAGCTACAAGTAAGTTGTTTTTATATTACAAATAATAGAAAAATATTATTGTTTAGCTTTATGAATGTCTTTTCTTTTATACCCTGGTAATTGTTATAATTTTTCAGAATCAAATTTTGTATGTGCATATTTATACTATTGATGATTAACCCTTTTTCGTTCTGATTTTTTGTAAATTTTTAATTATTTCAGCCTACGCCCTCTTTATTTGGAAAATTTGCCTTTATCAGAAGTTAAAAAACGAGATATAGGAGACCTGGTCAAAAAGAACATTATTCCAAAGAGTTTTTATGAGACATACTATAAAAACTTAATAGACACTTAATTTAAGTTTAATTCATTGATAATTTTTTTTTAATAAGCAATAACTTTTGTTTCGAATTACTGGAAATGAATAAATGTTAATAATTTTTATTAAACATCAATAAATTGGCATTCCTGTATTTTATAAATAATATTTATCAATTCTAGTGAGAATTTTCAGTTAAACAGAGACAACTCAAAATAACACCACTAAGTGTATAAAAAAATTTCAGGAAAAGAGTAACAACTCAAAAATTTGTTATTTTAGCGCAACTACTAAACAAATAAGAATGAAACAACCGTTATATTGTTTTTAATGATATTTTGGTGCAATTACATATTTTTTCCTTGTAATATATTATTAATATTTACTGAAACAGTTTTTCGTCTCTACTGAAAATGTTCAGATTTTGAGTTGTTACGCTTTAACGTAACAAGTGCGATATATCTAATGACCCACTGATCGGATCTTAACCAGATTAGTATGGGACCACCTCTGAGACACTACCTTTCCGATGCAAAAAGAATTATCGAAATCGGTTGACGTGGTCCAAAGTTATGCGGTAACATACATAAAAAAAATAAAAAATATTCCGACGAACTGGAAAGTCGGTAAAAAAAGGTTTTTTCTTAACAGCGGTCGACCCTCGGCAGGAAATGGCAAACCTCCGAGTGTATTTCTGCCATGAAAAACAGCTTCTCATAAAAATACAATCGCCGTTCGGAGTCGGCGTAAAACTGTAGGTCCCTCCGCTCTGTGTGACAACATCAAGGCGCACGCCACAAACACTAACATATTTGTAAGCGCCAATCTATTATTATTATTATTAAGTTGCAAGTTCTAACCGATTGCAAAACTGGCGTTAATTTGTTTTAATTTTCTTTGAAAACGGCCTTACGCCTTTTCTTCCATAAGAAAAAAGTGCAAAAATCCGTCAGCATAAAAAATATTAAAAACCAACGCAATTTGCAGTAGCTTTAAACTTGCACTTTATTATACTAAAATTTAATGGGCTACAAAACTGGGTAATCAAAAAAATTTTAAATAGATTTAGCTAATATTTTGAAGGTTTAGCTATACAAATTTGCATTTAGCTATTAGCTATTTTTGTTATTTTCTCTTTAATTGAGTTAGCTATTTTAGCTATACTTTTTTTTATAACATTCCCAATTTTGCACAGAGGTTTAACATTTTGATGAATACTAAATAGTACAAAAATTGGCATTCTGACAAGCCTAATTGCTTTTTGTGATGCCGATTATACCTTGCGACAAAAACAAAAAAATTTTCGAAACGCGAACCAATCAGTATATTTACGAAACTATTGTAAAACGGCGTTTGTGGATTTTCTCTCTTACGTCAGGTTTTTTGTTAAAGGACCTTGTAATTTCAAAGATATGATTACTTCAAAAAAATATTTAAAAAAACTCAGTGCAATGTAGAATAGAAATATGAGTACCAAATGAAAGAGAAAATTTTGTTGATTTAAAAAATAATAATTCTTTTTAGGTTTACGAAGAAGAATGAGTATTGAAAATGCCATTTTAATTATTTTTAGTTTTAAAGCTTACAAAGTTAGAAGGTCGAAATTTGAGGATGTGGTCACGCGTGGTCACGTCCTTCACGTCTTTATTTTCAATACTTACTTATCCTTAAGAAACAAAAAATTTAATCTGCCTTAGTTCTATAGATCCTTCTCTTTAATTTGCTGTTTTTCTACATTGCACTAAGTTTTTTAAATAATTTCTTGAAATAATCATATTTTGCAAATTCCAAAGTCCTTTAAAAATCTTGACGTCAAAGAGAAAAACTAAAAACGCAGTCTTCCAATATTTGGCTCATGGTTTCGCGAATATATTGATTTATTTCTGTGTAAAATTGACTGTCGCACGGTGGTATTATCTAGTATGTAATCGAATTGCTGGTTTCATCTTTAATAATTATAATTATAATTATTAATTATAATCAACCGCCCAGTTTCGTTCACAACGTTTTCCCTTTCATATTGTAATATCTTCGCTTGTTCGTCGAAATGGAAAGGTTATATAATCGTGAAACTATACCCAGGATATTTTTATATTTAAGGAATAGATTTGCAGATTGAAGCTAAAATTTTTATAATATTTACTAGTCACAATTATAAGGTATTTTACTACTCCAATCCAATGTATGTAAATATTTAAATTCATATTTGTTTTCGTTATAATCTAGTTATTAAAGACATACAAATATGATGTTATTTTTTGTTAACCCATTTAAGGTTTATGTAGCTATTTTTGAAGAAAAATATCTTTAGCTTTTTGTTTGGCTATAAATCAAATTGTTTATCTATTTTTAGCTTTGGTGGTCATTGATGTAAGCAAAGCAATGATGTTGCATTTTGTCTAATTTTTCCTAATTGTTTTTAGGAAATAACTGTTCTGGTTACCAGTGCGGGAACTGGCCTGGTACTGGCATTACAACACGTCCGTCACGAAAGAAGTTTTTTTTATTTTTGTGTTTCTTCATTTGTAAACAATTCATGGTTAATTTGAATTTTGTTACTTCCGTTTTTCATTTGTTTGCTCTTCTTCAATTTCAAACTTGTATTTTATTTGTTGCTACGGTTGCCAGACGTACTAATTTTCTCAGTACAGTACTGATTTTTCAACTCTTGTACTGATTTTATTAATTTCTTCAATCAGTACGCTAATGTCCTGACTTTTCAAAATCTGTACTGATTCGTACTGAATTTTCAATTCAAACAAAATACTTTAGGATTTCCCTAAGGTTTTACATAACGTTGAAACTTCCTTAAACTGTACTGTAGTATGTAAGAAGAAAATAATTTAATTATAGTTGGCATGTTTCAGATAATGTTTGGTTNTGTACTGATTCGTACTGAATTTTCAATTCAAACAAAATACTTTAGGATTTCCCTAAGGTTTTACATAACGTTGAAACTTCCTTAAACTGTACTGTAGTATGTAAGAAGAAAATAATTTAATTATAGTTGGCATGTTTCAGATAATGTTTGGTTTGCCCAAGAAATAAATACAACAAAAAGATCAATCGTTTTATGGGCATATCGCGGTCGTTACATACCAGTTGCGATAATATGATGGAGCTTAAGTTTTTTAAAAATAAGGCTGACTTTTTTTGTCGAGTGTTGCTAGTTATCTCGAGAATAACTTTCAGTTTAATAACAACAAATTTAATATTCGAATGGCTTTTTTCACAATTTACTGACATTGTAAAGAGTTTTACATACAAGACAAAGAGTTAGATACTCTTTTTAGCGAATTCTTAGTCTTTCAAAGTTTTTGCGTAGTTGATAGAATTAATTAATCCATGAGGAATTATAGATTGAGTCCTTAATCCTTAGTCACATTTGAAAAAATTTTTAATTTTGGTCAAACTAAGCAACTGAGAGGATCTTAAGTATAAAGTTTGCTTCCTGACGCAAAGTGAGAAACTGGCTTCTAATTAAAACTTTTTAAAGTGAACTTCATATTAAAAGTAATTTTCAATTAAAATTTAAAGAATTCTTTGACTACTTAAACCCTGAAGATGAAAATGATCTCATTATTGCTATTCAAAAATGTCATAAATATAAAATAATTTATTGGCTTCTGTGTACAATGTGTGTACACTCATGTTAAAATGAACAACACTTTTATTTTTTATAAACTATATTTTTTTATATACCAAAATATTGTTAAAAACAAGTACTCTGACGGTTTAAAGTATTATCTGTTACTTACATTCATAATTTTGCTTTGCATAAAAATGTACTGAAAAGTACTTATTTTTTTAGCAATAAAAAGTCTAACGTACTGACATAAAAAATCTGGCAACCTTATTTGTTGCTCATTAAATTTTTCTTTCATTCCGATTGTAATTGTTTTTTCTTGTTTTTGGTTTTGTTGTTATCAAATTGTTGTTGATTTGTGATACTGTTATTTTTGTTTTCATTTTATATTTATTTGTTTGTCTTCTTTCCCATCCAGCATTTTGCTAGCGCTGTGTTGTTTCACGAGTTTTTTTGTCGTAGTTCCAAGAAAGCCGAACTCTAACTTTGAGCTGATCTCAGAGTTTGCACAATCAGGTGCATTTGCTGCTACGCTGACATATGCAGTACCATCGTCTAAGGCAAAACTTCAATTGCCGAGCTGAGCTGAAACTAAAGACAATTTGAAGTTGGCCTGCGTTGTTTACACACAAAATTTGTTGGTGGAAGAACTGAGGAAAGCAGACTCAAATAAAAAGTAAATACATGAGAAAAAGGAGGAGTTGAAGGAAAAACTTCTGGAGCACTGGAGCGTTTCTTGGGAAACTAAGTGGGAAGTATGCAGAGCAAGTACGACAAACGTGACCAACTTAGGCTGCGGCATCGCGGACTGACGTTGCTGTAAGGGGAAGAGAAAGAGGAGAGGGAGCGACGTAGGTGTTTTGTGGAGATTGCGAATTGCTCACTGTTAGCACGACACCCAATACTGGGCTACACATATTCTCAAGTTTGTAGAGCAAGTGCAAAAAGCAAGTAGGAAAGGATTTTACAGAAGCGTGTCGAGTTACTTAACGCAATTCAAATATTCACGCGCTTCAATGTTGCAATGGCATATTTTAATGATGAACGTCTCCGCAGCGGGAATGTGAAAAGAAGGGGGGGGGAAGAAGAAGGGGGAAGAAATAGCCTCCATCACCAACAATGCAAATGGGTGTCAACAAAGCAGGGAAATATGTATTAAAAACGTGGAATATTTTCAGTTATTTCTGAATTGACATTTGTAGTAAAACTTTTGCAACCAGGCAATAATATTACACGAGCCGAACACGCGGATCAATACAGCGGCAATAGCGTGCCTGGAAAAGTCGTCCAAGTTAAACGAGGTTTGACAGAGGAAATGTTTACATAATTTAATTGAGTGACAGCGGAACAAATCTAGAATTAAGAAGGATGAAAATGTAATTATAAAGTGCGCATATGCCCATATAATATACACACAAGTATGTTTGAAGTAGGGATGGATATATTCGATTCAAAATTTAATCGCATTTTAGCTTCAAAATGGCGAATTTTTTAAATCGTACTTCGTGGTGCGAAAATGCG